GTTCCCCAAATTCCTTTGCTCTCCCAGAGCTGCCCTCCCATTTCCCAGGTGCTGAGCTGAGCCCAGGCTCAAGCCTAACAGCACGGGCTTAAATCTGGCACCCAGGGAAAATCCGTGCCTGGAGCGTGGCCAGCACAAGGTCCCAGATTTCTCTGGGACATGTCACTTATCTCAGGGGCCTCTTGCTCCCCCCTGCTTGGCCAACTCGTTTCAGGTCTGGTTTTGCCCATCCCAGACCGTGGGGGAGATGTTCGGGTGATGTCTCAGCCAGGGTGAGACAGATCAGTCGAGGGGATGATCTCCAACTTTTCCCACCAGCACCGGCATCGCTCCCATCCCACAGCCCTGCTGCCCCCATCCCACAGCCCTGCTCCTCCCATCCCACAGCCCTGCTCCAGAGGTAGCTGCTCCCCTCAAGGGGACCGCAGGGTTGAGCTGTGGGGTCCCAGGGCTGGAGGGGGCCAGTGGGCTGAGACAGCAGCAGCAGCCAGCCCATGTCCGTGTTTGGGGTGTCCTGGGGTGTTTGGGGTTGTCTTGTTGCCAGCACCACCAATAAAGATATAGCAGGGGAAAAACGGGAGCTGGGCAGGAATGGGAAAGAGTTCCCACCCCATTTCCCATCCTTGGCCCATGAGGTACAGGACCAGGCCAAGTCAGAGCACAGCTGGCCCCAGGCACATCATGAGGGCCAGAAAAGTCACTGCAGGATCTAACCTGGAGCGAAACCCCCCGTGGGATTGAATCCCAAAGCACCCACCTACCTGGAAAGGGATCATGATGTTTACGGCGTCCCCCACGTGCCTGACGTAAGTCTCCCGCAGGTGCCGAGGCATCCGGATCTTTGGGAGCTCTGGGGACCAGAAAGGCAGCTCAGGACACCAAGGGAAGCACAAGGGAATCACATCCCACCCCACACGTCCCACCCCACATATCCCCTCCTTGGCCACCAAGGAACCCCCCAAGAAACGCATCCACCTCTTCCCTCCCGTCTCCTGGGCAGTTCTGGTTCCCTGCAGGACCACTGCCTGTGTCCCAGAATTACCCCCATCCTTGGGACACCAACCCAATGGATCATTCACTGCCTTCGGGTCATGGACACAACGTGGGCTGGACCAGGAGGCCCCCACACGACCCCCGTGGTGATGAGGCTGGGAACGGTGTCTCCCATTGGAAATATTCCTTCCACAGACCTTCCAGAGGCAACACAACCCAACCTCCAGCTCCCCCACCCTCCACCTTCCCTGTGCCATCGGGGCACCGAGGAGGTGCCCGGGCACAGCAGAGCTGGGGCAGCCCCGGGCTGGTGACAAAGGAATGTCCCCAAGGGAACACAACAAAACCAAGGAAAACACTCCTGAAAGGCTGAGGGAGGGATTGTCTCTTCCTGCCGGGGTGGAAATAGAACCTGTGTAACTCAACCACCCGGGGATCCTTCTGGGGAGGATTTAGGGGGGCCCCTCGTGAGAGAGCCGAGTGTCTGGGCCTGGATTAGAGGGGCAGCAGCTCTGGGAGGGGGCACGGCCAGAATTAAACCCGACTGAGCCAAGCAGCTGCGAGGGTGGAATTCGGGGTGGGCCAGGAGGGTGGGAATGCCCAGAGCTCCCAGACAGCTCCAACAGCTGAGGACGTCCCTCCT